CATTTGCTACACATACATACCTTTATTAGTATCTTTAAACACGAAATTTCCTCTCTTCCATCAATAATTGTTCACTTTCTCAGGGTGACCTTATAATTATGAAACGGTGCAAAAACCGATGAACTGTTCTAAAAAAAGTTCAGAAAAATGCAGCTGCGGCTAGAAAACGGATACATAGGTTATTCGTGATGGGGAATCCGATCATGATGCTAGAAGAAATCCTTAATGATTGCTTTTTCTGAAAGTGCAAAATTTGAGGGTGACCTTATAATTATGAAACGCACTGTATTATCAGCGTTAGACACAAGCAGTTCTCTCCATCACCGACAGACACGGAATATGCTCCATAGCCATTACGTGTCCCCACTCACAATAGTCTATTGGCATGAGACATCTAACAAATAAAGTATTTGCTGCCTGTTGGCGCGTATGCATTTGCGTTCGCTTATTTAACATTGGAGCACTGCAAATGTGAAGATCGAGGCAGGTGGGCGGTAGAAGATTTCATCAATTTTGACATTAATGAGCCAAGCTTCCACTAGGGGTTAGGGAAGAAGCGTCGCATCATTCTTGTGACATCATGAGATCATAGTTTGGGTTTGTGGGGATGAAACTTCAACATTCTGCTGGAAATTCTCTGTTAGGTCTAAAATCTCACCTGCTCTGGTGCTCCTTCCCAAGTCAAGCTCCAACGGAAACTCTGCCCTCATCCCAGAAGCTCAGCATAGTCTGAGAACAGAAAAAAACGTTTGAGCAGCACTACAGGCACGCAAAGCTGGTGCTCAAGACTTTTATGCGCTCTAATCCTGAGCCAACACATGACTGGGATTGCTTAGGAATCGCTACGAAAGTCAGGATGGTTTCCTATGAGTTCCTCTCTTCGGATTGAACTCCGACCCAGAGCTAATCGCTGCGAATAATGCGCTCCAGTGTGAGGCGACGCGGCCGCACCCTCGCGACGGAATCTTTCCTCTGTACCCGTCCACACTGTACCAGTACTAGTCTGGTGCCCCTCATACATACATTAATACGCTCTATCAAAAAAAAATCGAGGCCGACAATCAAAATTAGTGGCATATGAGGTTTCTCCTGCTGAGCAGGGTATTTTTAGAGCTGGCTTTCTTGGTTCCATGTTTGTCCGTCTGTTGTCTAACAACACAAGCAGGCGGGCAGCCTACAGCTAACACAGCTGTTGCGGAAAATTTGCTGTTATTGGTGTCGCATTCAATAATTGATGTGCTCCAGCCTTGATTCATCATTAGTCATTCATACTTCCGCTAAGTTGTAGTTATCTTTCTGCTGCTTCGTGAAAAACACAGTCACAATGAGTTTCTGTGTTTCTGCGATGAAACTTCATTTAGCTGACTATAACATTCATTCTCAGGGCCGGTATTTTTTAGCGTTAGGTCTTTGCTGTACCTTCATTCATCGAAATTTTTTAAGTTTTACTTTTCTGGTTGCTAGTAGTCAATGTTCTGATCGCACATTACTTGGTAGTATCATTGTTGGTTTTGTAAATACATAAATGTGATTTTTTACCGAATTTGATTCAATACTTTCTGACGCCGACTTGGTCAGTACATGGACACCATTCCTGCGGCAAGAACATTTTTCATCCGTGGTATGGCAGAAGTGATGACTGGGGCCCCAAATTACCTCATTCTGTTTTCTAACAATGAAAATTTTCCATCCCTCAGTTCCTAACGATTTATCCTGCATTCAGTCAATGTATTTGAAATGAAGACTCTTGGTGGTGTTCATGATCAGCTTTCCGAATAATGAAGGAATCCAGTTATTTGCATCTACTTGTCCTATCAGCGTACCTTTTGCAGGAACTATATTAATTCTTATTGACGTAATGTTTCAACTCTTCAGTATGAACCCTATTCCTAAAGTGGGGACCACACTTTTTGATGGTCCCGCTTGAGCCCCTAATCACTTGTGGGCGTTCTCAACTAGGAATGCTCTCTTAGACTGTTAGAGCGACGAGGGTTTGGGATCGTCGCCGTGCACGAGTATAACTCGTTGCCTGTCCTTGCAAGTAGGATACTTCGCAGCAAGTCCGGACCATGGTAAGGTTCCTGTTCGTTCATAAAATGTCCAAAAATTTGTTTACATCGTTCATTTTCAATAAGCTATTAAGCCGAAATGGCGGAAATAAATTGTGCTCCGATAAGAACTGTATATTTTCGCTTCATCCTTGGACCCTTTGTGAGAAGGTGACATGTCAGTGCTCTCTGTTCAACTGTTCCAGTCCCTGTGGGTCAAAGAGAAAACTAAGAAAACTCGACCTAAGGGGTCCCCTGGTATGAAGGAAGTAGAAAATAAGAATTTTCATCATTAGCATTCAGAAAATTGGTGAAACGCCTGTGCTTTGATCGTACGAATGGGCTATATTTACAATGTTCACGGCCGATTGAAGTGCGTTCACAATTCATCTGGGATACTGTAGATAGGATGAGATCGGAAGGGCAGTGTATCGTTGATTCGATTTAGTTCATAGCTCAAGTAACAGTCTGTGTGACTGATGTAACCAAGGAAAAAAAGAGGTTTTTGGCAGTCGAACAGTTAGGCGGTCGACCAGTTCAGTGTTGTCGCGAAAACTCTATTCTATTCACATAGGATCTTATTAGAAGCAAATAGTATCGTTGTGGCATTCATGGTCTACAGTTATTGTTATTAGGTGGACGACCAGATCAATATAGGATAGCTTTCTAATGCTTTCTCGGCACTATTTACCCTTTACTGCCCCACCTTGTTGAGAATGGGCTGGATTTCTACCGAATTTTTTCAAAGAAGATGAAATCGGCTAGAAACTTGCCTACAGGGGTAATTTGATCCGTTGAACACGAATATTGCATCCATTTGTCATAAAGATGCCTAGCGCTTGCGCTACAGGTGCCTGCGCCAAATCGCTGGGTCACCGCTCCTGCTGAAAACTTGCCCCTAACTAGTGTCCCAGGCGTTTTCATGATGAGTGGATGCGATATTCGTGTTGTACGGGTCAAATTACCCCTCCAGGCAAGTTTCTAGCCGGTTTTTCTTCTTCAAAAAAATTCGATAGAAATCCAGCCCTTTCTCGACAGAGTGGGGCAGTAAAGGGTAAATAGTGCCGCTTTCTCTTCTAAATTCCTCCTCAGAATAGTTGAATTCATACTTTGCGTTAGGCGATGTCTGGGTACGCGACGCACCGATTCGCGCCGCACAAAGAATTGAAATATCGCAAATTCGATAACATGTGACGCTTGAAATCGAGGATTTCTAACTTGTCTGTTACGTTTCGCTCCTTCGCCGTTTAGTCGTTATACGTTGACTATTTGATGTACTGAGAGGTGCGGCTTTCGTCACTCTGTACATTCCAAAAGGGAACGTTTTAGGTTTTTGTCATATAAAATTGTTCAAGCAGTTATTTCACGGCAAGCAATCTCTGTTCAATTATACACTGAGCGCTCATTGTAATAGCAATTAATAAGCGAAAGAGCGAAGCAGAAGAAACATTTTCGAGTGTCTTACAACCCTCAGACTGATATGAGTCACTGATTTTTGTGATATTGATCCATCGCGCCGCGCAACCTGAAGCAAAGTGTTTTCGTCGGTTATCGCTTAAGAAATGTTGCGTACTGAACATCGGATATCAGTTAACGTAAATGATATAGTTGTTATGTTGGATTTGAAGGGCCTTCTGCGATAGGGATACTCAAGCATTACAAACTGAAGGCTTTTTCATAATTTTTTTCTGAATGCGATTCAGCCTGACTTTGTTTCTCCAATGTGTGTAGAAAGTTATAGAAAGTTACTCGAATTGGGCGTTCTCAGATCTTCTTTGTTTTCTTTTTATTAATGCTTTTGTCATCCTGAGAGAATCTGCCGATTCGCCTTTTATAGAAACTTCGATTTCTTTTGCTAATTATTCTCATTGCCAATACTTTCAGATGCCGCTAATCAAACGAGCGGTTTCGCCAGTGCATGTTAGCCGAGTGAAAATACCTCCTGAAGTAACCAACGGCGAGCTTCAATATGTTGCAAACAGTACCTTGGCAAACTTAATAAGACAACTCAGTTCTATCAGTAAACACGCCGAGCACATCTTTGGCGAGATTTACCTGGAGGCAATGAAACTCGACCATAAGTCGAACACGCTCGAGAAACGCATCGCAAACCTTACCGAGAAAGTTTCGAAACTGGACTCGACCAACGAACAAGGTTAGGCAATTTTTTGAATTCAATAATTGTGCATCGTTGTTTTGAGTTTTCCGAGTATCATTTGAAAGCTGTTCCTTTGTGCTTGTTTTATTCTTTGATGGGTTCACAAGTGTAGCTGTAGTCTTCGTTGGCATCCGTGGTGCATACACCAAGGTCGTAGTTATGGAGCTGTTGTTGAAAGAAATTTTTCTCGTCGAAAGACATCGGATGGAGAAGCAATCTCAGTGTGTCGAACCCATTAGCGGGCGTGAATTAGGGTCAGAAGAGCGTGCCACGCTGCCCACACCCGTCGCATGTCGTGGAAAAGAGACGCGAGATTTCTAAAAAAAATTTGCGCATGCGTACGCTGGGGATTTGGGCATGAAGCTCTGTCATCCCCCTCTCGCCGTCTCTGTGCTCATTTGACACTGCAGCGCTGCAGTCTGTAATCGTCCTAGTCTAATGGAAACAGTTAAACTGCATCAGGCGGAATGTTAACATGGGTCGAACACTTCGTCCTCTCTCCGAAATGGTTTTTCATTTTCCTTCGCCTAGCTTCCATTTGTTTTGCTGTGGAACTAAATATTCATCATATCGATTCCCCCACAAGAAAACTTATTCGGAGTGTTCAGGGTGTTTGTTTCATTGGGCGTCAAATTGACATCAAGAATAAGGCCGTTCAATATGATTATCAGTTTGGTTAGGTTCAGGTGCGGACCAATCCTTTATGCTCGGTAATCAACTTGAAAGCATCATGTCATTCTGGTGCGGAGGAAGTGTGAATGTAAGCCGTCGACTTTCATTGGTTGTCATACATTTCCTATCCAACTGACGTTTAACAAGTTCGAAAGCGGTAACGAAAGGTATGGGCAAGAAGCTTGTCCGATCTTCCCTTCACGTTACTGGGCATCTCTTTGTATTAAAAATGTGAGATTTGGATTGGATCGTAAAGCTGTTTTGGAATTCACTTATACGGAGTAGCTGCGTCTCACGCATTCGCAATGTATTGATGGGTTTCTTTGTATAAATTGATCTCACTGCAGATTCTCCGAAATCTTGTAAGCTTCTCTGGATGGTGCTCGTTAGTATTCTGCCAAAACTGAAAATAACTTATTTGGGAACCTTTCATATAGAAGCAGGCAGAATGAGTGAGGCACTTTATGTCTCCTGTCTCTTATGTAGTTGCTCAATCCTACTGGTTTTTCTCGGATTGGATCCTCAACCTTTTGTGGGACTTGCGTGAAGAGCAGAGTCAGGGTTCTGACGATGTTTTTCGAAACACTCTCGTCATGATCTAATATAGTAGTGTTTGGACTGGGTATGATGCTAAATTTCGTCGACATAATGGTGTGTCTGTCTATGGAAAGGAGAGCTTTAGGAACCGATATCCGTCTTTCCTCATACGGTAGATAGGGACAAACGGACGGGGGCATGTAGCGTTTGGTAACTTGTAAATTTTGTGACTTTCCACCACTATCTTGTTAACGCTCAACGAGTCTATGGTGCTCAATACCGATACCGGTAAATTTTGGCACGAATTGCAATGAGAGCGAAGTCTTATTCACAACAGTCTTACGGCTTCACATCTTGGGTGTAGCGACGGAGACGATGGTACGATCTCGAATGGGACCTTGAACTAACAGCTAAATAGACAGGCCAGATTTCTGCCTAAAGATGGTATCATCTATGAATCTTCCCTCGTGGTGGCTTTCAAGAATTTTTGAGACGAAAGGACGACCACCACTGCGAGATACCATGCATGTGTCGGTGAGCTTGATGAACTATTGCATCCTTTCTTCATGCTCATTCCATTCTATTAACCATCGTGTAACTCTCCAGCTATTCCCTTGAGGCCAGTGACGGCGTCGCAGGCGCCGATGACAGCATTAACGTAAATAAGACCGTCGACGAAGATTGTTAGCCCAACTAGTTTCACTTAATGGCTTGATGAAGTGTCATTGCTGGCTCTAGGGAGAGTCGTTAGTGAAGAATAACTACGCGAATATTTATAATGGAACCTGTTCTTATGTACTGACTTTCATCGAAGTCATTATCCACAGCAGCTGCGCAGGAATATGAAATTCAACCCCCAGGAAGTGATTTCAGCCCTATTTTTTCCAAAAGTAATAGTAACAAAGTAAATACGGCCAGTTTCAGCTAGCTTAGGCGAGCTGCAGATGAGGAAGCCGTTCAAGAGTTCCATGTTGATAGACCAACATACACTCGATCGTAGCACGTTACCGGTTGCTCTTGCTGAAGTCTACTCAAGATGTGATCCTCCACCTAATCTGGATGCTCTTAACCCTTTTAGGTAATAGTGTGACCAACTTTTTAGTTTGTACCCGTGAAGGTCTTGTAGGAACTCATGACTTGAAAAGTTGGACACAGCATTTTTTTTACAGAGATCCAGGTGCGCCAAGTGCATTATCCCTTTATACCAACCCGTCATTTTTCTTTGATTTATGGAGGCAGGAAATGCTCAAGGTATGACTATCGCTCTTATTTATTGAGCTCTTTCATTTCCATCGGTAAAGTAGGTGAGGCATACGCTGGCCTCAAGCTACAGAGTGCTCAGGGAGTATATACGCAAATAATAATACACTCTCAGAGTAATGGTATCGTACCAATCTAAGTATGGCTTCATTTCTCAACCAGGTATCTGCATTAAAACAGAGGGTTGCATTCATAGTTAAAGGTTCGCCGTTATTTATTACTTTTTTGAACTTTAAAAGTTAAGTTTGATCGCCATTTTTTCTCACGTGATTTGCTATACGAAAACTGAGCGATGGAACATTTAATAGGGATTATGTTAGGCGGCTGCGCAGAAAGTTCGAGTCCACGTGGGCTTTTGAATTATTTTTTGGGCGCTCAACTTCACCTTTATTCCTCTCTACCCGATTACTGATACCAGGTTTTATCCTCAGAAACTTCAGGATTGCGCGGATAACACTGCCAGGAGACGAATCAAATCGCCACCTCCAGATGGTCTCAATATGGTGAGAAGTCCGAAAAAACGACGACAACGATTGCCAATGCAACAACAAGAAGTGCCTAGGCAACAAGCAGCAAGGTATGTCATAACTCGTCGCAACTTTTTTCGTTCGATCTTATCCAAACAGATGAGTGGGCTGCTCATCAAAGAAGGGAACGTCTGTAATTTTTCAGAGTGTTTCTTAAGGTATATGTCTTCACTTCGAAACACGCGCACCGCAGCGCCTTCATTCCCTGATGAGTATCAAACTCCACAATCTTTGGGCCTGCAACTCCACAAGACCAATCAGATTCAGCACATCCAAGTAAGCTTTTAACCTTCGCTAATTTAAATGCGCGTATTTTGTAACTTGCTGTCGAAGTTCAAGCCCAACAAATGTTTCCATTATGTACTTTCGGGCGCGTATTTGCTTATTCAGTTCTTCTTTTTCTTATGTCCAATTATTACTAGGTTTTATCTCATTACTACCAATTGAATTTTATGCTTTCCATCTCTCTAGCCTATTCAAACATCCACTCCATCGCAAATCAGTGGAATGAGCCATCGTGTTGCTCCAACTCCAGACAATCGACAACGGGTAAATCTTTCTCCACCGAAGGAGCTCAAGGTTTGTTGTCTTCTTGCCCGTCTTAGAGTGTTCCCTATTCTATGTAATTCAGTCCTACAACATGTGAGAAATACCTTGCTCAATTAGTAACTGGCACTTTCAGCGTGAACTTCCTCCGCCCGATCTTGCGCTTCTGTCAATTGACGATGAGGATGAGGAGCTCCCACCTCCACCGCCTACACTGATGCATACTAGTGTTGTTAATCATCTGCCGTCTCCCCCTCCAAGCGCTATACAACTTGTGCCGAGTGACACTCAAGCTGTGGTTAGTTTCCTATTATACAGAATGCATGCCATTACTATACGGACTTCTAATTCGGGTTTCCTGCAGTTTTGTTTTTGATACTGTTTGTCACTTTCCCTTTTTGTCGTGAAACCCACCATGCAGGTCCCTCCTCCGCCAGCACCTCCACCGCCTCCACAGAACCTCATTACTGCACCAGCTCCTTCAGCTGCTACTTTTGGAGCTTCGGCAAAGGTATTCTAATCAGAGATAAAAATGATTCCTAGTGCTGAGATTTCTCTGACATCGCGAAAAAATTTGTAGATTCGTTCCAGAGATTTGTAGACTATTTTACAATACTTCTTTAAATCGCGCCCAGCTCATAAAATAACGCAGAACGGAACAACTATATGTAGAATATTTTCAAAAACAGTGGGAAAAGTGTGACTGCATCGAGCATGAAAATATCTTTTAAGCCTACAACCGAAACTGAGGAGGAAGAGAAGAAGCCCGATACGCGAAGTAACTTGCTGGCCGAGATTCAAAGTGGAATCAAGTTGAAAAAGGTTTGCATTTTCGTTACCCATCGTCTTTTCATAGTGCATCTGTTTCAAGTCAACAGATTTCTATAATACATTTTCACTAACTCATACTTCTCAAGGTGCGACTAGCTGAGGAGGCTGCAGCTGACAAAGCTGCTGCTGAAGCGAATGATGTAGCCGCTATTCTGAAACGTAGAATGGAACATGTGATGGGCAACGAAGATGAGGAGTCGCAAAGTAGCGGTGACGACGGAGAATGGGAAGACTGAGCCCGGTTCTTTTGTATTTTTACAGTTTCTATTCTCTCAACCTCTTAATTTGACGGTGGTGCACAAAGCCACTGTGTTAAATCGCCTTTGTGATGAATGTTGACTATTTTGATTATTTATTCATCTTTTGTGCGATACTGAGATTGATTTCATATGCAAAGGGATTGGGCAGAGTGTTTTCTTTCTTCTTACAGTTGATCTCAGCATCTCACAAACGTTCCATCATTGTTATTTCACAAGATACTAGCCGATTCTGTTGTCATTCTGTTGGTGGGTAAGCGGTTTCCTCTTATTCCTTATTTATTCGATCGCTTATTAGACGATAATTTGGATTTCTGCTCCTCATTTTATTGCTCATTTCCAAATTGTAGTTATTCATCATAACTAACTGGTGATATGTATGCATTTGTGTACGTGTCAGACTTGCGTCAACTATCGATGTTATATCAGTCATTTCACTAGTATTCGGTGAGAGATCGTTTTCCATATATCTTCAGGCTTTCTAAAATAACTGATGAATATTAAGTTTGCATTTACACTTGTAGTTAAACTAATAGGAAATGTTGCTTCGTTTTGCCTTGACCGGTTATATAATTTTCCATGTATAGTTATTCCGCTAGAAATGAGTTCAGGCTGACATGCGTTAATGTTGCATGCAGCTGCATAGATAATAAGCTTGTTGAGAATACACTTCAGGTCGATTAGCGATAATCTTTTATGTTATCATAAAAAAGGGTCCTTTTTTCTATGAATGGAGGTCACTGTCAAAAGACTTGGAAACGCAATAAAGTTATGTTCATTTTTCAGTCAAAATGAAGCTTTAACTGGTGTCGTCATTCGTCGGACCTGTTTCATTAAAGGTGTTCCAGCCTTTGTGGCTTTTGCAAGTTTATCTCTATAACTGATTAATATAATTTGTAAAGATTTTTTTTGAGGCCTCATTCTACTAAAGTGAACGCTGATCTTCCCAATTTGAAGTTATGGTGAGTCAGAGGAAGAACCTAAAGCACTGATCAGTTGCCAATTCGGACCAAACTAAGGCTGCGTAGATGAGTACTGAACGAACTTCTGTGGTTTGAAGATCTAGCTTCAACCATGTTTTTTATCCTTTCAACAATAGCGAATTGCTACCAATCTCATGGAATGATAGGGAAGAGGCAGGGACGTGGTCACTCCAGATCCTCGAAGATCGCTATTGGGACTGGACATTCTTGAATGAACCTGCAAGGTTCCTTGATTTACATTCGGAAATATTCATATTCATTAGTTTCGCCAAGGATGGTGGCACGAATTTTGATAAATGAGCATGTGGAGGAATTCTTCCTAGACTGCATGGGAACTTGGAGCACGAATAGCGTCGCTGATATCGCCAGCATAAGCCAGACGAGCGTATACTCATGATACAAGCATTCACTGATGGTATGAATGATGGATAGATGGTAGTATGGGGGTGTATTAGACCGGGGATGATAAATAGCCGACCACGTGAAGATGAAGGGCTCGAGTTTCTATGAACTCGCATGGTTCTTGAAGTTCGTAGCGGGACAACCAAGGAACAGTTTACGTTGGGGTATGTAATCGATTGTTATGTATTTTTCAAATGCGTATGCCCAGTTAACGGAAATGCGTCCACCTTTCGATCTATTATTTCAGATGCATGCCCTAAAACAGGGTTCGAGCCGCAGCCTTGTTGAAGTGGCTTTGGTGGAAGTGAGGAAACGGTTTCTCGATCTAGCAACGTGCCGTTTCGCTCCGGATTCATTTGAATATGACATGGTTAAATATAGAATGAAAAAGGTATGCTGAAGTCAAGTCAGCTTTATTTCAACGTAGTGTGGGGTGCAACAGTAGCTAGCACAAACTTGATTGCGAATAATTATAACGAAATCTCATAAGATTGGCGAGTTAAAGCAAGGTTTATTCTCGGAATGTACTCGAACCTGTACTTGTGCCTTCACAGCACCGTGCTCTTATCCCTTACACTACCAAGACTCCCAGCTTACCCTCGCTTTCTTAATGGCTTTCATGCCATACCTTACCGGCACCTACACGTACAACATGATAACCCAATAAATAAGCCAAGATGAGCCGTCGAGCTGACAGCTGTTCTGTTATGACAAGTTACAACAGGACAGCTTACAGCTTAACTGTTCAGTACCGTTACTGACCGGTTAACCACGTTCTACGTGTTAGTGGCATGAAAGCTTTGGTATAAAAGCCATTAAGGAAGCGAGGTCAAGCGAGATATCGGTAATGTAAGGGATAAGAGTACGGTTGTCGGATAGCACAAGCACAGGTTCGAGTTCCGTCCCGGGCTGAAGTTTTGTACATAACTCGCCAACCTTGTAGTCTTTCGCATAGTGTACTGTAGCTAACAAAACAGCAGTGTTTAGAAAATCTTTTACCGAAAGTGACAGCTCCATAAAGTATTTTCTCTTCATACCAGTGAATTGGGCGAAAGATTACGGGGAAAGCTTTTTCTAGAGTTACTAACTGCATTGTGTGCATTCTGTGCTTAACTTGAACCATTGGATTTAGGGCGAGAAATATTGGAAAGTCGTGCTGTCTTCTAACCAAACAGTGCTGGGAACAGCAAACCTTTGTAGTTGAGTGGTACGAACTTTTATCGATCGTACCCGCTGTGATTTGAGCGGATGCGCTATTGCTTGACTGTCTTTTGAGTCCGATCTTATTGGTGAAAATTTGTTTCCTCGAACTAATTTATGGAGTACCTATGGAACCGTTAAATATGAAGTAGCTGTGCGTTCATCACGAGATGGCACCGAGAGCTGGGGCGAACTATGAGGACGAACGTCTTGAAATTCTCGTATTATGAATCTTCCAGAATGACTAGAAGTGGAAGAGTTGCCTGTGCTAATCCTTCGCATCAAAAACAGGTTCGGAAACTCAACTTCAATTAGTGAGGGATAACTTTTAACCATTGCATAAAGACGCAAGGTTCAAATTGTTGATATCGCACAACCTCCTTCGCAGAGGAACTGTTAAAGTTAAAGGAAGAGATGGGAGGCGGACCTTGAAAATTGTGATGAGTATCAGTATGGTCAAGCAGCCATCATCCCAAATGACTCATCATAACTTTGGTCACAAACGCAGTGCAAAGCCTGGTTTTCTCTTTATTCTCGTGAAGCACCCAGTAGTAGGTGGCTCGTTGGTTGGGTTCATTCTTTTCGACGATTCAGAGAGGATCCATCCAAAAGGAACACCTAAATTACGTCGTAGAGATACCTGNGAGATGGGAGGCGGACCTTGAAAATTGTGATGAGTATCAGTATGGTCAAGCAGCCATCATCCCAAATGACTCATCATAACTTTGGTCACAAACGCAGTGCGAAGCCTTGTTTTCTCTTTATTCTCGTGAAGCACCCAGTAGTAGGTGGCTCGTAGGTTGGGTTCATTCTTTTCGACGATTCAGAGAGGATCCATCCAAAAGGAACACCTAAATTACGTCGTAGAGATACCTGTTTAAGACATAGTTCAGAATAGCTAACGAAGGGCTGATCAGCTTGGCTTTTTAGATAATTTTCTTGGGATTTACCGTCAATACTCGGGCATTTGGATGATGATTGTCTGATTTTAGCTATACAATTCCACAGTGGTGGGCGGAAAGTATGTGCGGTCCACGTTAGCGTTGGATTCGTTTCGTGCTTTGAATCCTGATGCCAGTACCCCTAAATTACACACTATGGCAGAGAGCGCTGCATTGTTAGAACTGGTAGGTTTTGTTTCTGTCATCTTTTTTCGTTTTCCGTTCGGTATCGCTCAGCAGAAGAAATTTTGGCTTATTTTTAAGGTTCAAAGTTTCTATGTAATACTAGACGATATTATGGATGGATCAGAAACCCGACGTGGTAAGCCGTGCTGGTATAAGCATGTGAGCATAATCATATTTGTAAACGTTCAATACGATAGAGATTTTCTGACCAACCGAATTTGTTGCTTCAAATTGACCGAATCTAAACGTCATCATGCATCTACAACCAGTCTTTCCACTGTTTTTCATTTCTAGCAGTAGAAGCTTTGCGTGCAAACTAGTGAACGCGAACTGTTTTCTAAACCATCGCTTTCTTCTAGTAGGAAGTATGGTTGTGAATAGCAAGACTTCTTAATGATGGACTGGCATCACTTGTTAACTATATAGAAGGAACTGTGTATGGGTTAACCTATTGCAACAATTTTTGTAACCGGCTGTGGACAACAGGACGGTGCTCGGATTAATCTGGAGCTGATTATCATTGGAAGGATCAAGGGTAGTGGTTCGTTGTTAATCAATCCCGTTTTGGTATGCGGCCCCGCCTTCGACGTTCGTTCTGGATTAGTGAAATTCGGATGCTTATGTTTCTTATGAAGAACTTACGGTGGTTAGCAGTTCTACATGTCAGTACCTTTATTTTTCCGGCGAGTCTGGTACCGATTTACCTTTTAGAGAGGAAAGGCTTGGTCGGCCTGGGTGGGCATTTATATGGTACCCGATCCCAGGGCACACCCATGTCCGTGTCTCTGCATCATCACCTTATCTAGTATCATTACATACAATTCAATGAAATGAATCGCAAAGTAGCCTGGTTTACACAGGTTGTCATTATCCTTCGTTAATTCTTATTTGTTTACAGCCGGATATCGGTTTAGGCGCCATTAACGACGCATTATTACTGGATTCATTCATCGAAGAATTAATACGGTGAGTTTATAAGGGTCGATATATTGTTTGAACGTAGCTACGCCTATTTCTTAGGTTTACCTCAAATGGCCGATTAGATAGTAACGGCTTATTTATTGCTTTCCCGAAGATTTGCTTCTACGCTTTCCATATCCACTTTGTTTTGGTGCGATCTTTATGTATGTTCTTCACTGTTTTTCTCTTCCTGACTGCATGAATGTCGTCATTCCCTACCACTAATGTGAACGCTAACAGGAACTGATTAGTTTCTTCGAACGCTACATTAACAATTTCGACATGCATCTAGGTCCAAAAATTCATGGAAAGGAGAAGTGCTCTCTTTGGCCTGCTGATCTTGAGATCGATGAAGAATCGTGATTTCCGATTCAAGTGTACAGAATTCGAAAAATGTAAAATCAGCTCTTTTGGAGCTTCTGTAAAGGATGCTTAGAGAGAAGGACAGTTTTGATTTGGCACGTCAGGTCCAATCTCGAAGAAGGCTACGGTGTCGCGCCGTCTGCGACCGCCCGGCGAGTCCCGTTGCTTCGGTGGATCAGCGGTAGAATGCTCACCTGCCACGCGGGTGGTCCGGGTTCGGTTCCCGACCGATGCACCATGTCCCATCTTCTGCGGTCGCCTAACTAATTGTAAGATGGCAGTCGAGACGGCGTGAGCTAGTGGCGGAATCTTACACTCGCTCATCCATGCTCCACACCCTGTGCTACGAAGGCCTGTTAGGCCTTAACGGCTCTGGTCTCCCACCTAATAGTGTTATTTTTAATAGTGGTATTGCATCCGCAGCACACTAATGGTAAAGACTTCTAGTCCGGTGAGGAGCTCCCTCACGCACTGGCCTAGGAGACGGGGGGTGGTCCAACATAGATTTACCTCCACCCATTAAGCCTGGTACTTTGCGAGTACTAGAAGGTATAGGATGACCACTACATTACCAATACGGGAAGCTAGGTAACCATGGAAATTTGTGAGATTATTAAAGTTAGGTGATAGAGTTTAAGTAGTTGGCTACGTGCGACAAATAATTGAGACTAAGAACTTCCACAAAATATTATGGCAAATAGATGTGCACAAATATATCCACATAAAACCGCCATCGGGCCATACGTGGCTTTCACATCCCGCGGTTTTTCTTCTTCCTTGGCTGTGAAACAGAATTCCAGATAATCCTTGCGTCGACAAGGCTGGCTGCGATATCCACAGTGCTGAATAGTATGGCAGTAGTAGAAGTGCTGTAATGCCAACTGGAGCTGCGGCCGGGTCCGAAGTCGAGTGGTGCGTTCGGCAGGAATGACGTTCATTGCCGTAGCTGCACCTCCCCTGGCGGTACCATTGCGCCCGCCGCACAAATCTCCTTTTGAAGTCGTTCGAACGACCAGTCACACGGTCTGTGAAACCTGACTGTGAGTACCATTTTCTGAGAAAGGTGGGAGAAGAAGAAATCGAGTCAGTGTACAAAATAGGAGCCACTCAGAACGATAGTGGAAAGCTGGGCTTCTGAAAAAGGCCGTGACCATTTTACGAGGTCGTTTTGCCATTTTGGTCGTAGATGCCTTTCACAAGACATTCCATCAATCAGATCAGGACAATCAGGATAATATTGGAATCTTAATTTGAACTATTGCACATGAACGAGAATCCGCGAGAGCAAAGTTTTTTGACCATCGACTACCTCGGTGGACCGAAAATTCCTTCGTGTATGTGTTAGACGAGAAATTCATGAGTCCTCTACCCTTGATCCCAGAACGACTTGGAAGGGCTGTGGGCATGGGATGTAAACTCTTTAGTGGATGACTGAAAGTTATAGCAACTGACAGATTCTATGAAGAGACTAGGAGGGGGAGAGGAACTGTAGCGCTTTTGCCTTTCGCATTAATATTGGAGCCTCGGCAACTTGAATTGCGATATAGGAAGGGACGAGATCATGGACATCTAGTGTCAGGAACCTTTCTTCTTCTTCTCGGTAGCGTTGATCTGGCGTTTTCGCAAGGTCGGCTACTTCTATCGGGTCATCTCCATTTCATCCTTTTTGAAGCCTCTGCTGTTGCCATCTTGACTTCGACACGGTCCTTCTCGATCACGTTATGCCACCTCTTTTCTGGAGCTCCTAGCGGTCGCTTCCATCAAGCTTTGAGGGGTACTGCCTTTCTTATCAGTTGATCCTATAGTCTTCTGAGTACGCGCCCATATCATCGTAGGCGCTGGTCTCTCGTCTTTAACTGGATTCGTCTGCATAAGTGCTCCGATGTCCTCGTTTCTGCAACCGTACCATCCAACCGCAGACACATCAAAATACCCTCATACTGAGTGAAACTGTCTGCCATGACCTTTACCTACAGGGCCTGTAAAACATCGCGAGTCTTATCATCGAAAACATTCTCTTGGGTCTCTTAGAGCTGGTCGCGGAGTATACTACAGAATTATCTTTATCTCGCTCTGGCCGCTTTATTCGAGACTTCGCAGCCTTGCCCACACTACCGTCGGCAGCCATGTCCTCCTCAGATATCGGAAGTCCTGCACACTTTCGGTATCTTTTCACCAGTCTTCGATCGGCTCTACGCACTCCTCAAAGTTGGGACTTGGTCCTCTTTTCGTCCATTCGGAGCTTTCGTTAGAAGTTCTAACGTTTCTGCAGCCTATTTGGGTGCTCTTCTCTTTTCTCTGCCATGAATGTTGAAGCGATTCTCAGATTTTTTATCAGAGACTATCTTTCCAGAGAATTGTACGCCGCACATCCACAAGTTGATCGATTATGTAGTTCTTATCAAAAGGTGAGTGCGCTAAATTATTTTTTGAATAACTTTTAGAGTAAGTCCTGGAAAAGCCCTCATTCCACTATAGAACACACATACATAGAGCATTCCGTCCGCCACTTTTTCCTCTCCGAGGTGTTTTCTTTGTTGCAGTCAAAACGCATGACTCTACTGGGACAACTTTTGGATACGTCTTCTGTTCGAGACATTGACGCTTTTACATGGGATCGGTTAGTGACGTTCTGCTTTTCGACTTCTTGGTCAGAAATAATATGGAAATTAAGTCAAATTCTAAGCTTCCTGTCATGAATGTGTAGGCTTCCAGATGTACGTGGCCCAAGTGCTATTTGTCTCAATATTTAAAGGCACAGTTCACGATTATTCAATGAGCGGGGACGTCAGTGACCTTCCCGCCCCTCGGTCGATGTCACGTCAGACGTCAGAGACGAGTGTCGAGACAATACAGATTGCAAATTTTCGTTCTAGGACCCACATACAATCAGCTATCGCCGAGTGATGAGGCGATGTTTTTCTCCCATTCTTCTTTCCTCTG